TCTACGTTTCACGCGTATCAAACATCTACAAATCTTTCAAAGTGGTGCAATGCTTTCAGAGAGTGCATCGCAGTTCTCAAACTTTGGCAAAACGTGTATCAACGTGTATCTCCGAGTATCTCGCGATACTTTCAAAGTCTCGGGATGTCGGATCTTCATATATCGTTAAGCAAATTGCTTAAAAATTCGCGACAGAGGGGATCGAATGGCCATCACTAGGGAGGAGGAGGAAATGTCAAGCAGTCGCGACTGAGAAGGTTAAGGAAGAAGAAGGGGGAGGAGGAAGAAAGAGAAAGCGATAGAGGAAGGAGGAAGGAGAGGAGAGGCGAGAGAAGAGGGGGGGAGAGAGAGGAGGAGGAGAGAGGACCAGGGTGCCGGAACGAGCGGGGCCGACCCTGCGCGCAGCCTCCCCAGTCTACCCCGAAGATTCAGTCGTCGTGCGGCAGAGGAGGACCGAGGAACGCCCGGTCGAAGCACGCTGCTCTTCTCTCGATTCGTCTCTCTCGCAACCCTCTCTGTTCCTCCGTTGGTCGGTCGGTCGGTCGGACGCACGCTCGTTGCCTCCCTTCGGTCGGTGCGTGTGCTTCGCTGGTTCACGAGTGAAAACGGAGCTACGAGGACGCTTGCTCGGCGTCCCGGTCCACGCAGCCAAACTGTTACGGCCGACACGGTAAAAATTTCCACGACACGAGGCGGGATAGAAGGGGAAGGGAAGAGGGCGAAACATCGGCGACTCGGCGTGACAGCGAACGAACTCGGCCAAGCGTTTCGACTCGATACTGCGCGAAATTCTGCAACATCGTTCCAACGTCGACGCCGGTGTCGTCTCTGGGCTTGTCAACCTCTCGTCCGTCCGTCTCTCCTTTCATTCTTCTTTGCCTGCTCGCGCGTCTCCGTCTTCCTCTCTCTTCCTTTCGCGACACGACGCGAGGGATGACGACGAGGGTGGACAGTGATATCGCTTGCCACGATACTTGATCGCGGTGGTGGTAGTGTTGCTCCGATCATGGTGGTGGTGGTGGTGGTGATGGTTGTAGTGGTGGTGGTGATAGTGGTGGTGGCGGCGGCGACAATGATACTAGGGATGCTAGTGGTAGTGACGGTTTAAATTTCAGCCGCGTGCTCCGGTTCGCGTACGTGAGCCATTACACGGGTCCACGGGTTTTCTCGTCAACCCGGTAGGATATACGAGCGGCAGTCATGATTCGCGGATGCAAATTTTGGCCCAACACTTCGGGAGGCTGAATAATTTTTTCCACGCCGGTCAACCGTCTATGACGAACGAACCCGACAACTTCTCCCGACTCACTGCCGCTTCTTTCGCATTCCCGCCTGCGTGCACGCGCTTTTCTCTGGCATCCTATGGATTTTGCGTGCAACACAAAATTTCGAGAGGATCTACAGAATCCTTGCAGTGTCGCGAGCATCCCCCCGCGTCTCCCTTCTTTCGCGTATGCGATCGCGAACGAAGGATTCGATCGAATCGGTACAAGGGGGAAGGGGGGGGGAAAAAAGCGAGGGATACATTCCGTTTCAATCGTGCTCGATCCCACGGGTTTTTCTTCTTGACTCGAATTCTCGCGATTCAATGCACGGCTCGTACGTGACGAGCTCGAACGATCAGTCGTAAAGCTATCGCGATTCGCCCGAAAAGAAATCGGTGACGGGACGTAATAATCTCTTTGTCATCGTTGTATATGCGAGAATGGACGCAAGTTCCGTGAATCGTTTCGTGGTGGGAAAAAGTCCGCTCGAATCATCCGCCTTCTCCGCGCCAAGAGATGGAAGAAAAGCAATATTTACGTCGCTATGATGATTTATGCCTCCAACTATTCTCCTCGCGATTCGAGAAGAATAGAACCGGGTTCGTAGATGAGAATCGTACCTCGTAGGCATTCCGTTGGACAAAGGTAGAACGTTGATCGCCTCCGAAATCGGTATTCAACGGCAAGTTTTTTTTTTTTCCAATCTCGTAGTTTCTCTCGCTCTCAACGCTTTCTCTTCCTCGTGCGGCAGAATGGCCGCAAGTGATAATTTGTTCCAAGTAGAGGTACATTTGTATCAAGAATCGTTCTCGTAATTCCTCTCGAACGAGCGTAACGTTAAAGTTTCACGTCGGGGGCGGTAGTTTGTAAAAGTTTGATTACGCGAAACAACGTGATCGATTGCGCACAACAAGGCAGACGCTATCATTGACGAAAGCCAGGTCGGGAAGAGGTAAAACAGGGGTTCTATCTCTTTGGCAGAGAGAGGGCGAGTACGTGGTTGGCCGGCGCGCACGAATACACGTATCGTTGGAAAGCTTGTTACATTAGACGCGAGTACAGAAGTATCGGTAGCGACGCTTCTCCTTTCCCTTTACCCTGCAACCGGGAGGAGCAGCATCGGGCGGCGGCGAGAAAATACGCCGTAAACATTACCGATCCTCCGATATCGGAACTCGGTTTCACGATGCATCTCTTTTCCCAAGAAGGAAAAAAAGGAATGGACGAACTGTGGCTCGTGTGTCGCCGCACTCATATCGCATCCTATATCGTATACGTCTGGCAGGTTTGCATTATGGAAATCCCGCGGACTTTACGACTTTTCGAAGGTATCGCGTACATTTCCTTATCTCGGTTTAAGGCTCTCCGGGAAACGTTTATCTCCGTGGCGTAAAGAGGATAGATAGACTCGGTAAAATCGGCAATGATCTCACTCCGCGTGCTACCCTCTACCCTTATTCTTCTCCGTGAAATATTTATATTGTTCGGGAAGAGAAAGGTCGGCGAAGAGGGAATTTTTCGATGGAAACGCGGACAATTGTAGGATTCACGGCCACGGCAGGCAAATTCTCTCTCTTTTCCCGGTTTTCGTGGATTCCATGTCGCGGACGAGATGCGCTTATTCCCATTGCCATTCGATCGCGCGGGAATGAATATCGGTAACCGTGGGACAGACGCAGGGTCGATGCTTTTCCGTTGTACTCGATTCTTTCTCGTTGAATGGAAATACCCGACTATATTTTTTTCTCTCTTCTTTTTATTTTTCTCTTCTCTCTTTCTCTCTCTCTCTCTCTCTCTCTCTTTTTCGTTGGGCGTTGCGTCGGAACGAAGCATCGAAGAGAGCACGAGTTGGAAGGAGAGGAGAAGGGGTGAGAAAAATATGGCTCGGGTGCTGCGTCGATCCAACTTCTCCCTTCATTTTTTTGTCCACCAGTCGGAGGGGGGGGAATCGCGGACCGCGTCGAATGTCGGCCGTTGCAAATGAGATTCGTAGAAACCGAAATCGAGCATCCGAGTCCAACCGACGCTTTCTTCTTTCGCTTGCCACTTTTGGCAAAAGAAAAATCTTCGCGAGTTGCAAGTATACGACAGGGAAAGAAAAACGAAAGAAGAATGCGAAAGAGAGAAAGAGGGGGAGGGGAAAGAAAGCGCAGAGACGAAGGTGGCAAGTCCCAGATTAACTAGCTTGTTTAAATGTTTATACTGTCGGTGGGAAAACTCTTTTTTTTCTCGTTCGGAGTGGAATTCGGAATCGATCGACGGGAAAAAAATCCGCTCGAGTTCCCTCGGCGTTATCAAGAGAAAGCTGCAGGTTTTTTCAACGGATTTAAATGCTCGTCGATCTTGGCGGCAAATAAACAGGAACGTTAGCTTTCGCCGTGGCATAATAAAAGGTTTACAATTTCCGCACCGTGTTCTCGAATCTTTTTTGACGCGTCGCTTTACAGAGAGGAGAAGAAAAGAAAAGAAAAGAAAGGAAAAAGCGCAAAAGCATCGTTGAAATCGCGAGCGGATTCCTCTTCGAACGATGAAATTTCAATCGTGTATATCTACTAAAAGTATCGTCGCTTCGAACACGCGGACGTGTCCGACCGAGAACAATGAATTAGACGGTTGGTTGAACTTGAAAAGCGCGTTAAAAGTTTCAATGTTTCCCGTCTCTCTCTTTATAAAACATTCCTCCGCGGATGAATGTCTTTGAAGAAGGAACTCTGGGAGGACCCAAGGAGTGGGCAACAGACTCGGTTCGAAACAAGTCTCGTTAAAGAGGCAAATTGGATGATGTCTGTTCCGTGAAGCCTCGGCAAAAACAGAGGTTGGACCGTCGAGTGTCTCGCGAACGAGCGTAGCGAATCGGCGGCGAGTCGAAGTACGGTCGAGAGAGTCGAAGCGTACGATACGCGTCGCGTAAATCCAAAGTCGTTCCGCCGATTAAACGGTGGCAAAGCGAACGTGGGTTTTACAGTCGTGGCCCGATATCCTTTCAGGGAGGTGGGGATTCACCGGCGCAGGAAACGAGGAGCGTACGTGCACGATGCCAGCCAGGACCACGTCCAAGGATAGGACGCAGCCAGAAGCGAGAGGAACGTCATCGGCCCGATACTCCAAGGAGGAAAATCACCGTTCCATTTTACACTTTTATACGAAACGAGCTACTACAACGACCAACGTTTCCGCGTTGTTCCGGCCTGACGGTGTCTTTTGATTCGGTGCCCGAAAATAGCAACGCCGGGAGATAGAGAGAGGAGAGTGGTGAATGGTTGACTAGAAGCGAGCGTTGGCAACGGAACGACGTCGAGAAACCGTGCCGCTTCATTCGTCGACGTCGGCATCGGCGAATCAACGTCCAACGCGGCGGACGATACCGATTCGAGCCTCGTACGCCTCCCCCCGTTACCTCATACCTCGTGCGCGTGACGAACGACGCCTCGAAATGGATGGAGAAAAGTACGGTTCGAATCTTAATCGGCTTGTAAATAGTCTATCGTAATTCCTCTCGCGTGGACCCGAGATATCCATCTAAGTGGCGTTATCCCCAGTTGCCTCGTTTCTTAGCGTACGCAAACTTTCTTCCCTCTCACGAACGTAACCGGATCACGGAGGAAACGGTGTCGAATACGGGAGGAGGATATAGAGTCGTGCGATATTTCGATTGGAAAAATATATATATATATATACATACAAAGAAGAAAAAGGGAAAGGATAAAAAGAAGACGTCGAGAAGAGAGGAGCCTAATGTTTCTCAACGACATGGGGCTGTTAATGTTCTTAGCACTAACGGCCTCCCTCCTCTTGGGCTATTGCCAAACGGATGAAAAAGGTAATGTATAGACGTCCTCTTGAACGGTGACGAAAGAAAGCCGCGGTTCGCTTTCGTCCGTTGCCGTCGCGCGATCGTAAATCCAGGGATGCGCGATGGAAAAGCAGCAAACACCGACAGAGATTAACTTTTATGGTCAATGGAACGAGTGGCCGCCGCGAATGTACTTATATCACCGATACCGACCCTCTACTTTTCAATAACCCGACCGACCGTCTATCGGACCGCTTTTAATAACCAACGAAAACGGCGCGAGTCGTAAACACGGTTCGGCGATATCACGATCGCTCGATCCAGCGCGCGACACGATCCCTGGATTCACGACGCTTCCCCTAAATCCTTTTTACGACGATCCTCGCGTCAAATATGAACGATCGTCAGCGTTTCGCTCACCTATGATGGAACTCTGAACTAGAAAATGGGCGTCTACTCTCTCTCCTTTTACAACGTCACGAATAATGGAAGAATTTCAATTGATTCGAAAGAAAGATAAAGGAAAAAAGAATAGAAAAGAATATATATATATATATCGCTTTTGATCGTGGGAAAAATGTTCATTTTGATGGTTCTTTTTTTTTTTTTTTTTTTTTTTTTTCAATTAGATTTATATCGCATATCGGGTATAAAAGTAAGTAGCTATTATCGTGGCTCGATATTAAAGTAAACGTAACGTAGGAAATATGGGAAGGTTAATTACAAATATTAATTACGAAATTAACATCGTTCGTTTCACGAACAAGTACGGATATAAATCGGGATGCGGAGAATTAATGTAGTAATACGAGACGATGGTTCGATCATCTCGCGATGCATCGACGTAGATGAAATACGAAAATACGACATGTGCAGATGCGTTTTCGATCATCTGTAATTGCTGTGATACAGCCTCGCGGTTCTTCGATTTCCCTCTCACGTCCGTGTCTATTTATTCTCCGGGATGTCGTCTTTTCATTTCATTTCCGTTCCAACGTTTCGGTTTTAATGGGTTCGATACACGGAGATAGGGGACACGCGATAGCTCGCCGAATCGAAATAGGAAATCGTTCGCTCTTTCAGGAAGTTTGTCTTTAACGATGAAAGTGAGATTAAACCAAGTGCGAAAGAAAACAGAATGATCGAGGTTTGAATCGAAATTTTTTTTTTTTTTTTTTTTAAATCCAAGAAAGAATATTCGTAATGATCCGAATAAAAAGACGAAGCTCGTGTTTGTTGCTCTTCGTTAAACGTACGCGTCCCTATCGTCGATGAAGCAAATTAATCCTCCCATCGATTGTAAATTTGTTCGAAACAAAGTACGAATTTGAAAAAAAAAAAAAAATGTCTATAGATAGGCCTCGTGTATCGAGTTTGCGTATAACCGCTAATATCCGCGAGTTTATCAATTTTAGATAAACTACGTTTCATAACTTGGTACGAGTATCCCGGAGAAAGAAACGAAGAAACGATAGATGGATAAAAGAGTTTCGCTATCGAGCGGCGTAATCAGTTTTTCATTTAGCCGGCTAATCCATCGTTTAGCGTAGACCCCGCGTGTCGGAACGATCAAATTATACGAGGTAGAAACTTTTATCCCACGCTCGAAAAACAATTACCCGTTATTTTTCGTTGTAACCGAGTCGAAAATGGAATTTATCGGTATCAATTTTACATAAACCATTCTTGATTTCCCGGCTTCGTATTTCTGTAATAGGTGAACGTCGAGGGCAATCTAACCAAGCATCGAAATACCATGATGGAAATAGCAATGGCAACACGAGTTTAATCAATTTCCCGTTTATCTCGCGTTCCATTTCTCTAATCCATCATTTCGCTCGCAAATTAATGCTTCGTCGACGTCGCGCGGCTCAAAAGCGGTCGTTTTTCGAACAATCCAAGGCTTTCTCAGCCAAAAGGAGCAGGAATATTGACAAATTTTGTTAATTAAACGCGACCAACCCGTTTACCGATCCTCCATTATCGGGGATACGATGAAATCGCAATCGATTCGCGCAAATCGTTCGATACGATGAAACCGAAGCCGTCTTAATCCACCTCGTTTCACGCGTTCCATTGAAAAAAGAAATTTGTCGACGCGATAAAAACCAAGTCACGACACCAAGGCCAATATCACCCTACTACTCATCATTCCGTTCATCCAGCTAATCTGTCCTTTATGGACTATAGTTGTTCGCTTCGAATTTCGAGCCGGAGATGCGCATATACATCGAAATCCAATTGCGGAATACGTTTGAAAAGCATTTCGCGCACTTTCTCATCTTGGACCGAGACAGGATTTACTTTGACGAAAAACAAGATGAATACGATGCTGAATCGTTTCGTTATCCGTAACACGAAAGTTGGGAGAAAAGAAAAACGCGAATCGGGATAATTGCGCGAAACGTCTGACCGTCGAGTAGTTAAGAGCCGCATTTATTGGTCAGATGTGGGGGATAGCTTTGAGAAAGCTAACGTTGCCCCGAAGCGACTAATTTGGCCATTTCCGTGCTCTATTATCTCGATAATTAGCGATCGATGAACATTTCCGATAGGAGAAAATCTGCTTGTAATTGGTTAAGGACCTCGACCTCGTTATTTCTAGGTTGTGCTAGATAAACGTGAATAAATTGCGTGTATGTGTATGTAAGGAAAAAAAAAAAAAGAAAAGAAACGAAAAAAAAAAAGAAAAAAGGAAAAGACGAAAACTTCGATTACGCGTTTCGATCTTAGAGTGTCATCGCCATACTGTCTCTAATGCTAATCGAAGTAAGTACATTTAACCTCGATAGAGAAGGTACGCGTGGATACACGAACACAAATACAAACGTTATGGCCTGTATCATGAACCGAGGATTCCCGTAAACAGGTGAAGCCGGGTTCTATAACCGTATAGAACACTCGTCCCAAATCGATTCCATCGATTCGCGGTTGACGTTAATGTTTCCGTGTCCCCCGTTCCACGATGTTGCGTCGATAGAATAAAAATAATAAAAGGAGGGAACGGTGAAAGATGAAAGAACGAAGCTGGGGGGGCGGAAGAGATAAAGAAGATAGCGCGTAGTTAATGATCCGTACGATTATTCCACGTATTCGTCGAACGTTTTCCAAGATCATTTACACGCCTCTCTGGGAAATAAACTCTTTACAAGAGTTCGAAACACGCGGTTGTCCGATTTCTCGGTATACACACTTAGAGACGCGAGATCTCTTCTTCAACGGTCTTTTAAAGGAGTTGAAGTCGCTCATTCATCGGTCTTGCCAAGCTTTTCAATCGCCTACTGTGCTTTATTTCCTTTTCTTTCCTCTTCTTTTTCTCTTTATTACGTTGATTTCTTTCTGTCTGTTCGACACCGTCGAAATAGTATATCAACCGATGGAAAATATTGAACCATACCTTCATAACGATCGACGAAACGTCAATTAAATTCTGCGCCTCGTCGTTCGTTTATTTATCGCGACTGTTTTTTCTCCTTGTTATTTTGATTTCCGTAAAATTTTCGATATTTTCCCGAGATATGGTATACGAGGTATACTGAATTAAACAGGTAAAGGTCCATTTGGATTACGGATGCAATCGTGCAGCGAATAAATATTTCATATCGATAAAAATTACACGATCATTTTATTCACGGTCAAGCGGTGAATAATTTACAGTACACGCTACTACGGTACACTCATCAAGGCTAATGAATTATATGAAAATTTGTACGGTTCAGGATAAATGGAATCGTTTAAGTTAAAAGAAACGAGACTAGGAGATTTTCAAATTTCTCTAACGAAATATCTAATCTAGAACAATCGTTCTTGCAAGAATTCAAATATGCCAATTTATTCAATTTTTCTCAACAACGAAAATTATTTATCAAAATTTTAATTATATTACGTCATATCGTAAATATCAAATTTATCTCAACCGAAGATATTATGATACAGGATATATTTAAAAGAAAAAAAAAAAAAGAAAAAAATTAAAGCCTAGCAAAACTCAATAAATCTGAACGTAGAGTTCAATTTGATTAAATTTCGAGAAATTAAATCGCTTAAGTAAATATCTATAATATGCGAACGATGCACGAGAAATAAACATAATACGCGATATAATATACACATTATACAATTAATACATGTGCGTATACGTCGCAAAAGATCATCCTTTCGATCGATCACTATCTTGACGATTTTTAAAAAATCTTGATCATAAACGACAATACTTCGATAATCTCATATTACTTTTAAATAACGTTATACCAGGTTCTCAAAAAAGAACTGAAACGATTAATATTTTCTCACGATTTTTTTTTTTTACTTCTTTCTATTTCAAATATCTCTGAAAAAAATCGATTTATAAAAACCGAATCATGACAATGGTAATTTTTCTTAGCAATGATTTACGAGTCGTTAATGCATTTGCAAAAATATCCGAGATCGCGTACGCCTCATTTTAAATAGAAATATCGATAGTGGATGGAGATTTATTCCTTCCCATGAATATTTTCAAAGCGCGTACACTTTTTAGATAGTCCAAAGAAACGTGCAAATTTATACGTATACGTTCATATTTCGCGCATCGATGGGCGAGCAATTGCGTCACGGAGGAACAATAAATTTTTCAAATTTATTACAGTGTCATTTTACGGAGCGAGCTACATTCATCTTCCGGTGCAAGAAGCTAAGGGTGCGACTGACATCAGCTTCCGGTTCCGAACTCATCTCGCGGACGCTATGCTGCTATTGGCCGTTGGCAGGACGGATTACTGCCTGATCAAACTCGAAACCGGCAAATTGAAGGTTCGTTTGCCCTCAATGCTTACTTCTATTAATAGGCTTTCTGTTTGGGTCTTCGTGGCCGCTGGTCGTTAACCAACCGCACGTGCTATAGTCCGACGCGACAGTCAGCACAACCCCTCTCTCTCTCTCTCATCCTAATTCTCTTTTTCATCTCCTCATCCACGAGCAATCTTTCTACAGTACGAGCTATCCTTGCTAAGAAATTAGGCTTGGTTCGAAACATTGAGAAAAAAAGAAACTCGAGAGAAGGGAAAAAAAGGAGGAGAGAAAAGCGAGACGAGTTGGAGAGCACGCGAGCATGGATGATATAAAAAAGAGGGAAAAAATAGAAAAGAAAGAGAAATGATTTTCAGACACGCGGCTAACGACCACGTTCTCCACAGCTCGATTTTATAACTTCGATAAAAACCGTGTCGTGATTTTAACAACATCACGTCGTTGCCCCGCTTTATTCGAGCCATTAAAACTCCGCAAGTAAAAACATCTTATTTATGTATGCGGATGCTCGCGAGAAATGGTAAAACAAGATAGATCGACACGTTTCACCGAATATACATAATAAAATTTATAGAGAAAAAGGAAAAGAAGCGATGAATTTTTTTTTATTCACTTTTCCCTTTCATGCGCACACACTTTCTCTCCTTCTCTCTATTTCTCCGTGTCTCTTTCTTTTCAACTAAATAAAAAACGTTTGTAAATTTCATTCGAGCAAAGTTAACGCTTCCCTTTGATTTCGTTTAAAACCATTTCCGTTTTAAATTCTATCTAAATCAACGATCCAGCCATCAAAGAGAAACCAATAATAATAAGTTTCGATGTAAACTTTCACGTAAAATACGCGTACGGTTACGATTCCATTTTATTTTATTATTTTTAATAATCCTTCGAGTAACAATTGCGTGGAAACGATCGTTACGTATAGACGTAGGAATAAATATAACGCATTCCTATCTATCGATCGACCTTTTACAGGGGGAACAATTTTTGTTACATGTTTGAAAAATACAATACTCGATGCTCGGACTTTTTAATTGAATTAAATATGACACGTTCAAATTTAATTTTTGTACACGAGCCCCGATATGAAATAAAACTTTATAATTTATTTCAAAGTAACGTTGGCTGTAAATTGCCGTGAAAAATTCTATTTGCGAATAAACATGAAAACTGTTCATGCATAATTGTCGCCAATGCGTGATCGAATTTAAATTTTTAAAATAGTCGCTCTCTACATTCGTGTAAAAAATTCGAATACTGATGTTTCTCTGTAAAAATCGAATAATCGTTACGTTTTACAATTTTTAATTTTTTATTCACGCGCAAGCTTTTCCTAAAGCTTCCCCTTTTGTTAAATCCAAATTATTTATCATAATTTATCGTTTCCTCGATTGTCCGAAGGAACGAAAAACCTTTAATACTTTTATCCGAATTAAGGCCAGGTATATACAAGCGTCATCCTTGTAATTCTATTGTTGTGACAGGTCTTTGTTTATAATGACACAACGTGTACGATCTTGCGATTTCGCTATGAAAACTATGCTACAAAGGTTTTAAACCGACATCCACAATGGAAAGATGCAAATCCACAAACGAAAGATGCAAATCCACGCGTTGCTCGCGTGTATCTATATCAGCATGTTCCAACTTCCTTTTGAGATATTTAAATAATTAATGTTCCACGTATTCGTTAAGTAACGAAAAAAATTAACAGGATTTTATCGCAAAAAGCAGAAACGACTAGCTGCCTTTTGAGTTAAGTTAGCGAGACCATCGCTCTGATTCCCGTAAAATACGAATTACGAATGAATTAAAATAAATAAATACTAAAATTCATTAACCAAAAGTGACAACAGCAACAACGTCCGTCCACAATTCGGATCTATATTAAAGCTAGTTGCAAACGATCAACGCGACACACTGTTTCGATCATCGCACGTGCGTTTTGGATCGTTATAAAACATAGAAACGTGAATCTGTCGAACTTCACAACGTCACTAGAGCAGAATCGCAACAATGTCATCTGCACCTGATCCAAAGTCAATTCCAACCGCGATTTTAATTCGAGATCGGTCTCTCTCGGATGGTTTCGATCCAATAGAAAAAGAAAAAAAGAAACAAATTTGTTTCGGTCGGCTCTCGTCGGTGAAATAAGACGGCTCAGGTATGAATTCTCGGCGCACGTATTAACAAGCACGGTTATAAACGATCGCCGGTGATACCGTGACGTCGGCCCGAAACGAACACTCGTTGGAGCAGAATTAAACGACACCATCGAGCGTACCCGGTTGCATTACGAAGAACAACGACGCACGGGGGACAAGCAAGCCCAGATGGGCCACTTTGCTCTTAGATAGTAATCGTCGTCGAGCTCTAGTTACAAATTACTAGAATTCGTGAGAAGAATCGGTGTACAGGGCATAGGTGCAACACACCGTCGCGGAATACGCTATCGTTCATAAGTATCGCGATATTTCGCTCCATTCGTGGCAATAATATATTCGGATAAATATTCGAATTTTAGCAAAGTATAGAAACGAAGGATGAGATTGAATTTATTACCTTATTATAAAGTCAATAGACCAATAATTAACATTATTCGCGATAAAATTTAACAGCAACACGCGAGTTGATTAGAATCAAATTCATGATTCGTCGATGTACGCGATGTTGTAGTAGTCTGTTCGATAATTAGGTAATTTATATATATTATTACATATACACGGATAATTACAGATCGCGTAAATTCACGAGAAATATGATTCCTCAAATAACGAAAGAATTCTCTTCGTTATTCGAATTAATAATTAATGGTGCAACGGTACAAACATTCGTACCAATTACGAAGAATAAAATTATTGCGGATCCTTTTATACGTAATTTCGAAATTAAAATAAATCTTGTTCGAAATAAACATACTTTCGTGCGAAGTAGCGTGTACGTGCAACTTCGTTACGCTAAATAGGAACCGGTTGTTTATCGGGATGCTTATTACGATTAATTCGAATATATTATATTCGATGGTCGCGTTCATAAAACGACGAACGGTCGATAAGTGGATGTAAACACGAATCTCTGAAACATTTACAGGATGCTCGCTATTAATCGCTCATCGACGATTATTGTTATTTCGCCTCGATGTATTCATATTCTTTGACGGAAATTTACAATCTTTGTACCGATGACGCGTATTTTCTTCATCGAACGCTCGAAGACGACCAATATTAATTTCGATTAACGAGATTAACGAGTCGAAATCTCAACATTTCGCGAATTTCACGTTTCATCGTACTATGATGAGGTGCATAAATAGATTCGAGTGGAATCTAAACTCGAAATAAGTTTGCTGACAATGAATCTTCTTTTGAAGTTATAGATTATCGATCTACATTATCGATCTTTTATAGAAGTAAAGAATAATCGGAAGTTGCGAAACGTAGCTTCGAATCGAGAAACTCAAATGAACGATAACTGTACGAAATATAGTCGAGCAAATATTCTCGAACCTTTAATTCGATCTAATTCAGCAAGAAAGAAAAAAAAAAAAAAAGGTAAAAACGGTAGAAAACGCTAGGTCGCGAACACTAATAAATACGAAAAAATTGCAGAGCAATCAGCCTATTCAGCTGATCGAGAAAGACCTCGGCAATCGATATAATTCGAGTAAAAATCTGGAACATGGTGTAGTAGTTCCTTCCCGAAGACATCTTAAATCTCTCGAAAAATCGAGAAAATTACAGCCGAGCAACCGATTTTATCCGATACCATCCGAGATGATTAATGGGCGAACGTAACATAGCGTAACACGTAACATAGCGGAATTGTTATTTGAAAAATTCAGATCGTTTTTCTTTTGATCGTAAGACGAAGATCAGGTGTAATCCAGTATCGCGATAGAGTGTTAAAACATCGTCCAAGTGCATTAGGGCGCGAGGAAAATGCCGTTTCTCACTGGATCCCAAAGATCCAGAGTGAAAACCGCGCGAATCTAATTTCGCGAAGGGTTAAGTCCACAGGTCGAACCATGAGAAGACGGGTAGGTGGGTGTCTGTCTGAGCTTAATTAAATTTGTTAAGAAGATCGTTAAGGAGGATGAGAAGAGGGATAAACGGGCGAGCAAAAAGTGCAATGGAATCGTTTCAACGTCTCGTGTGCCTGTCGAGCCACGTCTCTCCCGCACCGCTTTTATCCGCTTAAAACCTTTTCCATCTTCCCAATTATTCTATTATTCGGAAGTTCGGACTCGTCCACGAGAGGTATATATCGTTTACTCTCGGTTAGTTTCACCAACGCGTTGTCGAATTCATTTATTTTATTGCGCGATGCAACATTTTGTTTATCGTCAAATCGTAAAATGTTTATCAATTTAATCAAACGTAAATCGCATTACGTAAAAAAGTTGGAAACAATTTGTCCACGGATCCGATCGAATGCGTACAATTTCGCACGATTTCTTTTCCATTTCGAAAAGAAAGGAAAAAGAGAAATATCTTTTTCTTTTATCAATTGCGATCGATCGATCGAATATTTTGTTCCCTTTCCAATCAACGATGGTGCATCGATAATGCATCGCCCTGGTGTCTTCGACCTTCGAAACGTATAAATTCGCGTTTACACTCGACGAAGTGTCGTGTCTCTCGCGCTTATACATATTAATGGGGGATCCTGCATAGTCATCGGACATTGCGCTACTATCGGGGTGAACTTGCAACTCGCAAAAGCTCACGCCTTTATTACGAAATCGATCGGAGAACGGCGGCGGGAGAAGAGGCCGTCTGAAGCGGAGTCGATGCTACGGATCGGCCTCGATGCCAATCGCGCCTCTCCCTCGTAATTTCGACTCGTCTCTTTCCGAGAACGATCGACTTTTCATTAAGACACGATTCTACCTCGGCTGTCTCGATGCTTTCCCCCTTCCACGCAAGATCAACGAGAAGAGAGGATGGTGCAAGTTACGCTAAGACAACGCTATAAGTCTCGGAAGGTCGATTTAGGTCGCGATTAAAGACTCTTTATCAGAGGCTGCCGCTTCACCTCTCGCTAAAGCGCGTCGTGTACTGTCCTAACTCGATAATGCATTACTCGAACCCGTCTCATAATGTCGAGCCAAGGTGCCGCTAAACGGAGGAGAGAGGAAAAAAAAGAAAAAAAAAAGGAAACATCGTAATCCCCGGTCGTTTGTGGCCTCGAAGCGGGGATCTGAGCGGAAAAAGTCGAGGTTCGGATTAATAAAATGTACTTGCTACATAGTATGTATGTCAACTGATTTTTTTTTTTTTTTTAACGGTAACTGGATTACTCGTGGCAGATCTCTCTTTCTTTTTCCCTCGACAGACGTTCTCTTACGGATTTTAAACGACGCACATACACAGTTAAAGAGATGTTAATTTTTATTCTAATTTAGTTAAAAGTCCGTATCCGACAACGCGCAACTAACTTTTCCTAAATAAGGGAAGAATTATAAGGCGAATTATTTACCATTCTTTATGGAACATTCTTTATGAATTATTTTCACCTTTTTCACGCGACTTTCCACCAAACGAATTCGAGAGAGGATTTTAGAAAATCCGATTACACGGTATCTGGTTAAAAGAGAAATCTGATAAACGAGTAATAGATGGCAATTGGGAAAAGATCAATATTTAATACGTTTCCGGACCGCCCTTTTACACTTTGCATGCACAAATCGAAGACGTAATGCCTGCAAAGGTAGAACGAAAACAGTTTTTCTCTTAGAGAGAGAGAGAGAGAGAGAGAAAGAGAGAAAGAGAGAGGAGGAGGAGAAGAGAAATTTCTGAAGATGTTATTTCGCCAAAATAGTTGCAAGAAGAAACTTAAGTTATTTCTCGGTCATGTTTCCCTCTAAGCGAAACAGGTACATCCCCCTTCGAATTTTACTTCATTAAAAAAATAATTTTCCTTTATGCATTACCTTATCTAAATTTCCAACAAAGAGTAATTATCTTGGAGGGAAACTTGCGATAGAGTTTCCGAACTTTACCGTTACATCAAAGTCTTCGTCTATCTTTGGTATAGAATAATTTAAGAGGATGGTCCCTTCTGATTTTTCCACAGGTCCACATCAATTTAGGGGCGGGTGAAAGCGAGATGTCCAGTGCTCGTGGATTGACGTTGAACGACCTGAGCTGGCACGAGGTCAATCTGACGAGGCGAGAGGCTAACATCACCCTACAAATTGACGTGATACACACGACCAAATCCCTTCTACCAGGACGTTTCTTTGAACTGAATATACACTATGGGGTCTTCATCGGGGGACAGGGTGATTTTAACGAGCTATTTCTAGGTAAGACGCACCGGCAAGCTTGACTCACTCGGATAAATCGACGCGCCACGTGACTCCACTCTCGCTCACTTACGTCTCGTTGGTAACACGAAGATGCCATCAACTTATTACATTCTCGTCGATTCTAATGAAACTTGCCGTGTGTAAATGGAGAAAACTTGATCTTTCTTAAATCAATCCGTGATACGATTTCGCGCGATTCTTTTATAGATGAATATACTTTTCATGAATGAATACCGTTTTGTATTTTTATTTTGCATAATTCGTGCTAAGAATTAATTGAGAGTAACTGTTTAACCCGTGAAAATTTAAGCACCGGTGAATCGATTACGCCGTCGAATACGTTTTGTTTTTTACTATTTTTGTTTTTTTTTTNTTTTTTTTTTTTTTTTTTTTTTTTTTTTTTATACTTTGCGTAAAAACAACCAACTGCCTTAATTAAAAGTAACTGTTGGACTTTTGAAAAGTTCAGTCGCGATATTTTATGCGTAATTCTTTTATAAAGAAATATTGAAGATATACGTTTCGTTGTTAGTTTTATTTTGCGTAATATAAATCACAAACTGGCCTGGATTCGAGTGATAACGATGACTGTTTAGCTTTTGAAAAATTAAATAGTAATTACGTATGTAATTACAATAATTATTTATTTACAATTTATTCATAAAATTCATCGAGATATATATTGAATCGACGAGAGAGAGTAATAATGTCGATATAAATGCAACGATAATTTGCCTTATTATAGATGATGTATGTCCATCATTTCTTTGAAATCATTTATGAATTTTACGATAATAAATATCGCAAAATCATTATGTAGTTTAACGGTAAATTCTTTTTATTTATCTCTCAATAAGAACGATTTATTAAAATTTACTTTTGTAGTTTAAAATTCGATCGCGATATTTGGGGTAAACCAACGTTTATCGACGCGTATATTTGCTCGTGTTATTTACTTCAATAATATGAAAAATATTCTGCATATTTGCATTTATTTTAAATTCATGTAATATGAATAATTAAAAACAGAAATATCTTACGTCCAAGCGCGACAATTACTTTATGTAAATTGATGTTGAAGTTCAAATAAGAATATTTTAAGAACATCACCCTCGTAAAAAGAATTGACTATAAACAGAATAACGTTCCCACTTAAATGGGTTCTCTCTTACGAAAGAATCCAAAAACCATACGTAACTTTCCCACCAATTGAATATATTCATATTATCTTTCAATTTTTACTATCCGATATTGGATAATTATTACTCGATCATTACACGTCACGTGCTCGTTTTACGAAAAATTTATTTTCTCTTTTCCGTATCGAACGAAGTTACAATTTCATTTTCCTAAACGTATCTCCCGTTAAATCGTATATGCGATTTTTTTCTCAATTTTCAAAATTACCGGCTGTTATCTATGATTTCACTATCAAATTTTGATCGCTGACTCGATGACAAAATCTGTTGCGGTCAAAATTGAAATAGAAAAAAAAAAAAAAAAAAAAA